CAGCCCCTGCCCGGGCCGAGCCGGGCACCGCTCCCGTAATCCCCTGCCCCCTGGATAGGGGTGCCCCTGGCTGGGGCCGCAGGAGCCCCACACCCCGGCGCCTGGCACTGCGGGGTCCTGATACCCCAGTACCCCCATGTCTTCGTACCTCAATACCCCGGTACCCCGCACCCAGGCTCTCGGTCCCACTGTGCCGCAGCCCCTGAGGGACGTCCCCTGGGCTGCCCTGGCACCCCACCGCCCTTGCCCCAGCCAGCCTCGCCACGAGCCCCGTGCGGCTGGGCTGCACCCCTGGCACTCACCCTGCCTTACTTGGCACCGCACCCGCTCCCTCCTCGCCGCTTTCTTGGGAATGTCTATTAATATCGAGGAACCAGCCCAGCTGCTGCCATCGCTCTGCCCCTGCTTGCCTGCTGCGCCCTGCTCCAGCACCCCGCACCCTGCCCGGGCTTGGACGGGGATCCCTGCACTCCCCTGGGTGCGGGAGGGTCTGGGGGGGCTTCTGTACCCAGTGCCCGGGGGGCCCCAAAGCCTCCCCAGCCCCTCCCTGCCCAGCTGCTGGGCAGGGTGGGATGCACCAGGGGCTGGGCTGGTGCAGGGAATGGGGGACCTGGCAAAACCAGGAGGCAGGGAACATCCTGGATGTCCCTGGCGCTGGGACCGTGCAGGACAGGGTGCGGTCAGCCTGGCCCCGCTGCAGCCCTGAGTCCTCGTGCAACCCCCTGGAGCACCATGGGCACGGGCCACTTGGCCAGCGTGTCCCAAAGCCACTAGCCCCAGCCAGGCCCTGGCAAAGGTGGCTGGCATGGGCTGTGGTGTGTGAGGGCAGAGCCTTTGAGGAGGCGCCCGGGCAGGTTTCCCACTCTCCCGGCAGCATGGAAAGACGGGTCCTTTTCCGGACCCAGGTGCCAAAGGTGCCGGGGACCCCGTAGTGCAGGGGGGGCATGCTCCACGCTCCCTCAGGGGCTTCACGCCCCAGGCACCGCTGGGGCCTCCTTCCTCTTCTGGGGCGGGTTGCTGCAGCACGGGTCTGCCCCAGCCCACCCAAGCAGAAAATGGGGGTGAAAGGAGGGGGCCGGAGGTGGTGGAGCGAGGCTGGAGCCCCTGGGGTCTTGGGGGGCTGAGGGAGGGCACGCTGCGCCGGGGGAGCCTGGCCCATGGTGGGAGCCTGTCCCAGGCAGGGTTGTGGGTTCAGCAGGGGAGCAGGCGATGGTCCATCCCTGCGGCGTTGGGGCAGACAGGTGGGCGCAGGGGGAAGCCCTGGCCCCCTTGTTTGGGTGATGCTGGCCACTCTGGGGCTATTTTTAACCCCCTCCTTGCTGAGCTGCTCCAGGCAGGGGGGGCGCTGCAGGGGGGGGCAGAGCCGCCCTCCTGTCAAGGCTCTGGTGTCCCTCCCTGGAGGGCTTGAATTTCTATCCCGGCTTCAGATCCACGTTTAATCCCCAGCTCTTGGCCAATAACGCTTTGGCTAAATTAGGTAAAATGCACCTGTTGCCAATGAGCGGGGCCGGATCGCCACCGGGGAGCTGATAGGCTGCCGGGGCCGGGGGGCCAGCAGTTGGGGGCAGGCCACGCAGCAGGGACGCTACAAATTGGGGCGCCAGGGTCACCAGGGAGCTTCTGGGGACTTGTGCTGCAGGAGGCGGTGACTCCCTGGGGGAGGGAAGCAGCAGAGATGACTTCAATGGTAAGAGCCCCCATGCTGCCACAAAGGGGCCAGCAGTTGGGGGCAGGCCACGCAGCAGGGACGCTACAAATTGGGGCGCCAGGGTCACCAGGGAGCTTCTGGGGACTTGTGCTGCAGGAGGCGGTGACTCCCTGGGGGAGGGAAGCAGCAGAGATGACTTCAATGGTAAGAGCCCCCATGCTGCCACAAGCCGCGTGCTGCATGCCACGTGCTGCATGCTGGGCGGAGGCACAGCAGGGCAGGAGGCACCGGGCACCGCATATGCCCGGTGGATCTGGGCTGCTGAGGCACCTCTGCAGATGGTGGTGGGGAGGCGGTCCCCGGGGCCGGGCTGACCGTGGCGGGCGAGGGTAGGGAGGCGTCGGGGTGGTGCAGGGTCCCCACGGGACGTGCCCCAGAGAGGGACCGTGCAGCTGCCTGAGCGGCACGAGTGCCTGGGGATGCTGGCTCAGCCCTGGCCGGAGCTTGGGGCTGTGCGGAGGCGGCGGTGGCAGGGGGCGGCTGAAAGCCAAGCGCTGGGTCATGCGACATGGTGTCACCACTGGCTCCGCAGCCGGCCCACACCTCCAGGAGAAACTCGATCGAGGCCGACAGGTGCCCATGGCCCTGCTGCTCCCTATAAGGGGAGCTGAGGAGATCCCAAAAATAGCACTGCGTGCCTGGAATGCCAAGGCTGCACCCGGGGACTGCGGCCCCTGCGCCATGGAGCTCCCCCGCCCAGCTGGTGGGGGGGCCCTGGGCAGGCAGCTCCCCGTAGCCCACCGCTCTCACAGATGCCTGGGTGGCACCACAGCGGCAGGGTCCGCAGCTCGCCCCGGCATGGCCCTGTGCTCCAGCTGGGCAGGGGCTCTCCCAGCACCCATGCAAGGGGCTCCCAGGCACGCCGTGGGCAGCCGCAGTGACCGCTCTCCCCTGCCTCGCAGACGGACCAGCAGGCTGAAGCCCGTGCCTTCCTCAGCGAGGAGATGATCGCAGGTGAGCATGGAGGCGGCAGGGAGAGGGGCCAGACCCGGTCAAGGCATGGGGCTGGGCTCTGTCCTGCTGCCGCGGCCCCATCCCACGCGCTGCCCGGCCCTGACCCCCCGCTTCCCCTCAGAGTTTAAGGCCGCCTTCGACATGTTTGATGCGGACGGCGGCGGGGACATCAGCACCAAGGAGCTGGGGACAGTGATGAGGATGCTGGGCCAGAACCCCACCAAGGAGGAGCTGGACGCCATCATAGAGGAGGTGGACGAGGATGGTGAGAGGCCCTCGGTGGCGGGCGGCGGGCGGTGGGTGCCAGGTGGGCAGCCTGACCCGTGCTCGGCTTCCTCCCTGTAGGCAGCGGCACCATCGACTTCGAGGAGTTCCTGGTGATGATGGTGCGCCAGATGAAGGAGGACGCCAAGGGCAAGTCCGAGGAGGAGTTGGCCAACTGCTTCCGCATCTTTGACCGGTGAGTGGGGGGCGATGCGTGCCTGCCTGCCCCTGTGCATGGGGGTGAGCGGGGGTCACATCCTGCCCTCACCCTCCTGCAGGAATGCGGACGGGTTCATTGACATCGAGGAGCTGAGTGAGATCCTGAGGGCCACTGGGGAGCACGTCACCGAGGAGGACATAGAGGACCTGATGAAGGACTCGGACAAGAACAACGATGGCCGCATCGACTTCGACGGTGAGCGATGGTCCCAACCCTTGCCCTGTGGCCGCCCCGGCCGAGCGCCCATGCTGCCTGCCCTGGGCAAGGCTGAGGGCTGAGCGTGCCGCTCTCTTGCAGAGTTCCTGAAGATGATGGAGGGTGTGCAGTAAGGGACCAGACATTCCTCGGGCCGGCCGCTGCGCCCAGCCCTGCTCCACCGCTGCCCAGGGAGCAGCAGCTCCACAGCGCCCGGCCCCCGGCCGCCTGCGCTGGCTGGGACCCTGCCCCACGCAGGGGCCCCAGTCTCACCCCATCGCCGGTGGCTGAGCTTTTCCTCCAGTCTGTCGCATGCAGTTTCAGTCTGAGCCTCATTAAAAGGGGAAAGGCTTGAGCTGCTGGTGCGGCGGGGTGGGGGGGGGGGGGGGGGGGGGAGCGGTTTAGCCTGGGGACCAGGGCACAA